CTGAGGGAGGGAGGGATCTGGGAAGAAGAGAAGAGGGAGAGGGAAAGATCAAGGTAGGATCAGGTGTGGGAGGAGACAGAGGAGAAGTTCAGAGGGTCAGGTAATTGAATGGAGGTGTGTAGCAGTGGGGGATGGAGTAGCCACCAAAAGGTCCCAGATACCAGGAAAGCAAGAGGCTCCCAGGACCCAACAGTGATTTCATTAGCTGAAATACCCAACAAAGGGGAGAGAGAACTTGTAGAAGCCATATCCATTGGTTAGGCATGGTCCCTGGTTGAGGGATGGGGCCACCCACCCTTCTCTAAAATACTAACCCAGAATTGCTCCTGTCTAAAGGAAGTGTAGGGACAATGAGTGGAGCAGAAACTGACGGAAAGGCCATCCAGAGACTGCCCCACCTAGGGGCCCATCCCATCTGCAGACATCAAACCCAGACACTATTGCTGATGGCAAGAAGTGCTTTCTTACAGGAGCCTGGTATTGCTGTATGATGAGAGGCTCTGCCAAATCCTGACCAATACAGATACAGAGGCTTGCAGCCAACTATCTGACTGAGCATGGTGACCCCAATGGGGGAGTAAAGGGAAGGACTGAAGGAGCTGAAGGGGTTAGCAACCACATAGGAAGAACAACAATATCAACTAACCAGATCCCACAGAGCTACCAGGGGCTAAACCACCAACCAAAGAGTTCACACGGAGAAACCCATAGCTACAGCTGCACATGTAGCAGAGGATATCGCCTTACCTAGCATCAATGGGAGGGAAGTCCCTTGGTCCTGTGGCGGCTCAATGCCTCAGCATAGGGGAATATTAGGGCAGTGAGGCAGGAGTGGGTGGGTGGGGGGACACCCTCATAGAAGCAGGGGGCATGGGGTAGGATATCGGGACTTGTGGAGGGGAAGCTGGGAAAGAGGATAACATTTGAAATGGAAATAAATAAAATAACCAATTAAGAAAAGAAAAACAATTTCAGACTGATTTCTTTTATGGGCAATGATATAGGAATACTCAATAAAATAGTTGCAAGCTGAATCCAGGGAAACATATCAAAGACATCGTCCATCAAGATTAATTAGTATTTTTCTATGAATCTATCTATGTATCTATGTATCTATGTATCTATCTATCTATCTATCTATCTATCTATCTATCTATCTATTTCCATATATATAATCTTGTTCTCTCTTCCCCCTCACTATACTGAGTTCATCCAGTGTTGCTAATATATGTCCATGTGTTTAGGGGTGACCACTTGATATTGTATAATCTATCAGAGGCCTAGACTCTGGAAAACCTTATTCTCCCTCTCACAGTAGTCATTTATTGCCATTTTCTAAACTAACAAAATTTCTGTTGTATTTCAAAAAGATCAAGGGGTCGAGAGTTCATGGGTGCTGTTCATGGGTGCTATGTCTACTAGACACTGTCTTACAGCATGGTGCTGGTTCTCTGGCTCTTTTAGTTTCTGTCTGATTTTAGTGTAGGCATAGTGGTTGCACTGTAGTTACACAACAACTGTGACTGGAAATGCCACAGTCAGTGTGTTCTCTCTATTTCTTTGAGTTGTAGGTCTTTGTAATATTGTTTATGTGTTACACAAAAAGAAAAAGAAAAGAATGAAAGGAAAAAGAAATCTTTGATGAGGGGTAAGAACTTAACTATTTACAATTCAATTAGAATTCCAGAGTGATTGTACAATTTTGTAATCTTACCAGAAATAGAACGATTGTTCCAATTTTTCCACATTCTCACCAGCATGTGTTGTTGCTTGAGATTTTTATCTTAGCCATTCTGATTGGTGTAAGGTGGAATCTCAGGGTCATTTTGATGTTCCTTTCCCTTATGACTAAGGATGTTGAAGATTTCTTTAAAAGCTTCCTAGTCATTCAAGATTTCCCTGTTGGGAATTCTCTGTTTAGCTCTGTATCCCATTTTTAATTGGGTTATTTGGATATTAGCCCATTATAGGATGTAGGGTTCATGAAGATCTTTTCCAAATCTGTAGGTTGCCATTTTGTTCTATTAACAGTGTCCTTTGCCTTATAAAACTTTTCAGTTTCATGAGGTCCCATCTATCAATTGTTGATCTTAGAACCTGAGCTTTGGTGCTCTGTTCAGGAAGTTTAGGCAGATGTTCTTGTGGGATTACTAACAGTGGGATACAAGCCTATCTCTGATTCCTTGTCTTGATTTGGGACCCTTTCCTCCTACTGTGTTGCCTCCTCCATCCTTGATATGAAAATACTGTCTGATCTTATTGTAGCTTGTTATGCTGTATTTGATGATGTTCCTGGAAAATCTGCTCATTTCTGAGGGGAAGTGAATCAGGCATATATCCAGGGGAAAGTGGATACAAAGAGGGGAGTCTGGAAGCAGGGAGGAAGGTAAAAATCAGTCAGGATATAATATCTAAGAGAAAAATAAATAAAAAGGAAAATAATTTTAAAAAGCCAAACAAAAAGATCAATGCATTTCATGCTTATAAAATGATGATGAAACCTATTACATGAACTACTATTATACACTCATAACATTGCATTCAAATAAGCTAATTCTGTCTTTAATTTTTAGTCAACTCCCATGTAATGTCTTAAGAAGAGTCTAGTCAATAAATTTTATGTATCTAACATATACATGTATATCTAAATGTGAACTTATACATACATATATAAACATATATACATATTCGTGTACATTGGCTTGGGCCATTGGGAATGGCAGTGTTAGGAGGTGTGGCCTTGACACAGTAGGTGTGACCATGTTGGAGCATGCACCAATTATTCATTCATTTTTCTTGTTGAATAATGTTTCATCATATGAGTACAGTACACTTCATTTATTTGATTATCATTTGATTACTCATTCTGCTTTGTGACTATTACAAATTTACTTGCCTGCATAATAAAGACAAAACCACATTTTTTGATTCCCACAACTTGTAGCTGTGTGCCTAGATGAATAAGTTTTCACTCATATAATAACTTTATGCTCAATATCCCACAGGCCAAACATTGATGTTAAGGGAGTTCCATTTCCCAAAGGGTCTCACTACGCACTTCAGGCTGACCTCATAGAATCTCACTGTGCTGCTAAGCAGATCCCACAGGATCACACTTTGCAGCCTTGAGGTCTCGTTGTGCCTTGAGAATGCATTCTGTGCAGCACAGAATGACCTTACATTTGCATTGCTGCTTCTGCCCAAGCTGTATTTGTGCTGAGATCAGAGGCATATGATCACATCTGGCTTGATTTCTAACTTTTTGTTCTATTCGTCTGTTAATGTCTCTTGTTCCTTACTTCTTTCTCTTCTCTTTAAACCACTTCCACTCTCACATAGTCCATCTTTTACATTGCATGTGGTATTCATCACACTGAATTATGTCAGTTAAATTTTTTGAATATGTTTAAACATATATACATTCTAGACTACATTTTTGAACTATGATATTTCTTTGTATTGCTCAGCAGGGCTCTTGTTTCCATCCTATAGCTATTAAAGGTAATTTCATTAATATTGAATATAGAATCTATATCTGTCTTTTAAACTTTATGTTTCACATGAGAAGAAAACAGACTTGATTGCCATATTGTCTGTCATGTCGCTTATAAATCTGTTATACAGTGACAGAGGGATTTCAGAATTTAGCTATGGAAACAGCAGGTGCAATCTTAACTACATGAGAGTTACAATACTAGTATTTAAAAACAATAAAACAATATCCAATAAAAAGTACAATTCAAAGTTCTATGACCTATTATCCACTTTTGTAAATGTGTGTGTATGTGTGTGTGTGTGTGTGTGTGTGTGTGTGTAGAGAAGGGCTTGTGCAGATCACTGAGTGGGAGCTGACATCGTATTTTGAGAAACAGGATAAAATACAAAGAGAAGACTGTGTGTAAACAGAAGAGCTAAAGGTGTGCATGTTCCTATTGATAATTACACAGAGGATCGTGTGGGGAGATTCCCCAAGCAGTGAGAAGCTCTTTAAGGCACGATCTTCACATGGAGATGATGTGTGTTGGGGAGGTAGGGTCATCAGAGTATAAAAGACTAGATTTCTGTGTCGTCACCTACCAAGGACAACTAAAAAAATAAATAGAACAAGGTTATCCCATGACATAGTGAAACAAAGAATATAAAAAATAAATAAAAATTATTCTTTCTACTGAAATAATAGAAAAGTGTGGAATTGGTCTATAATCTCATACAAACTCACCTTTGCTCCTCTATGTGAGCTGGGAAGTCAGTGTAATTCACCTTCTTCAGTCTGTGAAACAGAACTTTCTTTATCTCCTTGATATTGTCACAAGGGTAATATAAATCTATCCATTAGAAACAGATGTTTTACAAAGTAAAATATGAATATACATGAGGCAATACAAATGTCTCGTTTTCTTTTTTTCTCATACCAGAAAAGTAAATTGAATGTTCCTTACTAACCAACTCCAAATTAAGACAAAATTATACAAATGACAAGTGTACAAAATTATTCCAACAAAATTGTTCAGGATCAAGACTAATAAGAAAGTATAATATGGTTAGGAAAACACATGGGAGGTTAAGAGAGAACAATAATATCAAAATCAGTATTGGAGCACCTGTAGGAATAAATAGAAGCACACTAGTGAAGAGATTTCATTATTATCCATTGTCATACCATTACTTAACTATTTTAGTTGATGTATAAGTGAACACAGAAGTCGGGGTAAAATGATACAATTTTACAGCAATGTAAAAGGAACAGAGATCATATTCGGCAATACCTCATCCACAATGGATGTCCAGAATTGTTTATGCAAGGAATGGAGGAAGTTGGAGCTAGATATCAAAGATAATCTTTTCTACTTTCACTACTCCACTAAACCTATTGTCTTTCATGTATTGAACAGCTATGTAGCATGCCCTTCCTTGTAGGTCTGATGATGAGGGACAATATCTGATATAAAATATCAACACATTTATTACATAAAATTAGATGACAATCCCAAGTGCTACCATTACAGAGAAATTTTCTTACTACAGATAACTCTTATTAGGGCCCTCTTAATGTCTCTGTTCCTCAGGCTGTAGATGAAGGGGTTCAGCATGGGAGTCACCAATGTATACATCATAGCCGTGGCAGTTTCCTTCATGGTAGAATTGTTATTTGATGGACATAATTAAAGACCAATAATTGTCCCATAGAACAGAGACACCACAGACAGATGGGAGCCACAGGTGGAGAAGACCTTGTAAATGCCCTGAGTAGATGGGACATTGAGAATGGAGAAGAAAATCCTTACATAGGACATAACAATGAGTAGGAATGGAATAATAGTGATGGTCCCTCCCAGGATAAATATCATCAACTCATTAACATAAGTGTCTGAGCAGGACAACTTCAGAAGAGCTGGTAGGTCACAGAAAAAGTGAAGAATCACATTCTTCTCACAAAAAGACAATCTAGCTGTGAGTAGGGTATGCAGCATGGCATGGAATGTAGTCAACATCCACAGTAGTATCACTAATGAAGCACAGAGCTTGGTGTTCATGATGCTGGTGTAATGCAATGGAAAGCAGATGGCCACATAGCGGTCATAGGCCATGACCACAAGAAGGAAGCTCTCCATGTCTCCAAAAACCAGAAAGAAATACAGCTGTGTCAGGCAACTTGCATAGGATATAGATGGTACTTGGCTCTGCATGTTCCGCAGCAACTTGGGCATTGTGACAGAGGAAAAGCAGAGGTCAGAGAAGGACAAATTGCTGAGAAACGAGTACATGGGTGTGTGGAGATGGGAGTCTAGTTGAACAAGAAGAATGATTAGCAGGTTTCCCAGGAGAGTGGTGAGGTACATGGCCAGGAACAGGGCAAAGAACAGGAGCTCATAATCTGATGGGATGGGCAAACCCAGGAGGATGAACTCCAAGATCAAAGTTTGGTTGTTTCCAGTCATTATCTGCCTTCAATGACTTAAAAAAAAATTAGATTTTCTTGAAATCCCAGTGGTTAAGCCTGTATGAAATCATAGATCAATTCCACTCTTTTGTCTCATTTGCTTATTTAGAAAAAGGATTACTCTATTTTTCATATTCTTTGGTTTTTATATTCTTTACCTCACTATGATAAAAAAATCATATTATTGGTCTATTTACTTCCTCAGTTGTACTTGGTAGATGATGCCATACAAACCAAATTCTGTACACTTTTCTGATTCCTCCTCCCAACATCCATACCCACAGTTCAATGAAAAGGGACATGGTTTGTGGCATACATTGTGTGTTGTATACTCTACAGTAGTTAATCTACTCTCATGAAAGTAACTGTGGATCTACATACAAATATGGTCAGTATTTACAGACACTTTGTTTTAGCATATTCTGTTATTCTAGTATTTACTCCACACATCTAATGGCTTCTAATATGAAAAAATATTGGCTTTTCTCTTCTCTACATTTCTGCCTGAAACATATACTTAAATTTAAGGAATCAATTTACATTAAATCCAGTTATTCATCTTAAATTTCCTCAGAATATATACTCACGTTTTGATACAAACTATGTATATTCTCTGATTAACTGCACAGATGGAATTTTGTATTTGTGGAATGCATTCAGGTATGCAAAATGCAATACTGTTTTTAATAATATTAATAGCAAATATTTTATTTGTCATATGATTTCACTATATTCATATTCATGTGATATTCATATCTATATTCATATAATTCCATTGATAATAATGTGGGAAAAATATATACAATAAATGTTTTTTTAAAGTATCAGTTAATTTTAGTCCTTCCCTTGATTTCATGTTCAGATATCCATAACTAGAAAGACAGTTTATACAGTAACTGATATAGTTCTTAAAAGAAAATTTGGTCAAATTACAGTTGTAGGTATTTCAAAGAAGATGTTTTACAATATTTTAACATTGAAACTATTTATTAACATTATATCAGAGTGAAGTAACTCTGACATTTCATAATGTGACAAGCCTCATGTGAGCAGTTAATAGAAAAAAAGAACTGCAAAAATATAAGAGAAATTGTGAACCTAGCTTCTCAGAATTATTTGTACTCTATTAATGAGTGGGCCCATGTTTTATGTAGGCTTACATGAAAAGATTACAAAGCAAAGATCACTTCTGATGGTTGCTGCTGCTGACCTAATGGATGTTACTTCTTCAGTTGTAAAACTCACAATTTTTACCTGAAGAGCAGATAAGACCATCCCATAAAAATATTTCTAGCAGTTATATACAGGCAACTCACCTAGAATTCTCTCAACACTGACTCTGCTTTCAAGCTGATACTCAGTTTTATACATGGACACTCAGGTGGTGTGAATACTCCTGTGCATGGCATGCAGTAATGAGCAAGTTCATGCACTTCTTGAAGTTGTAGACTTTTGAAATCTTTTAGGTAGAAGATCTCTTCAATGTTTACTAATTTTCAAAACTAAAGACTTACTGAAAGAAAGCTTAAGCATTCTAGCATAGCCCTTACTCTAAAGAGTTGTTATTAGGTTGAAATGGGAAAAATGCCCTGTAAGTAATTGTAATAAACTCCATCATTACCAAAATGCTTATTACTGTAACCATGAAAAAAGGTATTTCAAAAATATTTCAAAATGTTAAAAGTATAAAAATGGCAAGAAATAATATCATACCTGAAAACTGCTTGTCATGCTATCATAAAACTGGAAGTGAAAGATCTGCAGTTTGGAGGACAGTAATGTACCTCCTGAAAATTTATCTATGATGACTGAAAGTGTATCACAGTTCTTGCTTCAGATCCTGGTCACCTTTATTCATTATAAGAACAGGAATGAACATTCTCTACACTCAACATCTTCTTACATGCCCCCTTCTAGCCATCTATGGACCCCAAGAGCTCTGCATCCCTGAGGAATCCTGATCTTGTACAATTACCCAAGACCTCTACAGGACCAATTTTTCAAAGCCCTGAGGTGGGAGCAGATGATAGTTACTGATCACTCTTTAATGAACTTAGTAAAAAGGTAGGAATGAAGAGAAAATCAGATGCATACCTAACCTTTGCCTTTTTATGAACTAGGTGAGGTTTATGTGTAATCCAGCCTAGATTTTAGTAGACTAAGGCCAAGATATTTAAATACCTCTGAAGTAATGTAAATGCTGTTTTGAGTTAGACTTTCAATTTGTGGGAATGGAGTTGTTCAGAGCATTCTATTGTTACTCTCTAAATTTTCTTTGCATGTGTAGCATGACTTTTCTTTAATTACCCTTATAGACCTTCTTCATTTTAAGCATGACTATTGGCTTATTTATTACTCTTTAAAAATCAGCATTTTGTATCTCTCTTGGTTCCCTGAGGGACAAGCCTGACTGCAGAGGGGTTGATGTCAATAGTATCCCCTCTCCAGGAAAAAGACATCAGGACAGGTATGGCCCTCATGCCACACTGGACAACGATAGGGGGACAGGAGCCATTACAAGGTCCCCTTCAATTACTGGAGGTCAGGCCTCTATCCCCACCTTCGCAAGATTAGAATCACCACATCCCTTCTATACTTAGAGAAGGGAGGAGAAGTCACGGGCATCCTTGATTACACACTGAAGGCCTAAAATCAGCCATAGGCCTAAAATCAGCAATAGGCCTGTCATACACGTATACTAACACAAAGTCTTGGGTCTCTGTGGAAAAACATTGAAACAGATGGCTATAAGCTATTGTAAACAGTCAGCTTTCATGGAAATTTACCAGCCTGAGTAGTCATAGACCTTGTGAATAGGTAGCCTGGGCAGACAATACCAACTTAGATAAGGACAAGTAAATCTTAGGCGGTGTCATAGTGACCTGTCCCCTGCACCTTCACCCAGCTGATACCCTGTTCTGAAAGATATCTGTATTCCCCCTGAACACCCATATTCCAGTGTCATCCCCTTCCCCATGTCCTGCCTTTCTGTGTTTATAACCCCTGTGTGAATGAATTACGATTTGAAAAATAAATAAATAAATAATTTTTAAAAATCAGCATTTTGGTTTTTCTTTTTTATCTCTTTTGGTACTTGTTTTTAGTTTCAACTGATTGTGTGTGTGTGTGTGTGTGTGTGTGTGTGTGTGTGTGTGTGTGTGTG